CTTCCAAAATTTTTACTTTCATTGCCCATGTATTAAATTGTAGTTTTAGAGATTTATTACTTTGTGTTCTGATGCTCTTTGATCTTCTTAGCAACGATTTTTACATGGAAATGTGTGTATTGGAAATACCTGTTAAAATATAGTTTTCTGGAAAGTATACATCAATGCTCCACCCCTCTGCTAAATTATAACTGTAGGTAGTGTGGTCTGAGGAAACTATATACTTAATGTTTGCTAGACCAGGATTTGGGAACCGTTGCTTGAATCCTGTGTTAAATATAAATAGCCCAGAGGAGCAAAAATGTAATTCAGCTGCTGCCATAGTTAGACAAGGTTAACAGATAGCAGACATCAAGGCCTTGTGGACACAGCCCTTCTCTCCCACCTCCCTCAGGCACCTGGAGCTGAGTGGATAATGAATCCTGGTAGGAGGCATGGCAAGCACAGCCAAGCTAATTGTGAAAGGAAATTCTCTAGACACACACATTTAACTATATGGGAAAATATTAGAAAGGGGTCTTGCCTATTCCTTATTGCTCAGGCAGGAAATATGCTGTGTCTTCAAGTTCAGTGTTATGAAAATCAGATTGTTCATCCATTTTGTGTCGGCCTGCTATATGACTTCCCAGCATGTGTACCCATCTGTCCAGCAATTAAACCTTTAATTTTCTATTCCTATAGTGTTTACAAAACTATTGGCAGAAAATGAAATTTTCATGATGCTGTGTATATCTGGCTGGTCATTTTGAGCCCATATTGCTTTTCTCTAAGACTTGTATGTGGTCCTCTTAAGGGCTTACCAGGTGTCCAATCTACTAGTAAATCGATGAGAACAGTCACTCTCTTTCTAACTTGACACATCTAGTTGGCCTGGAAATTAGCAGGTTTTCCTTCAACCATTCAATTAATTGCTTTTACTCCAAGAAGGTGAGGGTTGCTAAAATTACCAGGTAGGAAGTTTATCTAACTTTTACTTTTCAGACAGAAGCTTGGTATTGTAAAGAAAAGTTTGTACCCCCAAATCTATAAGTAATGGGGAAGTGGTGCAAATATACATTTCTTATTTATTGAATGGTTGGGCAAGTGCTACTAAATGACTTTAAGAATAGGAACTAAGAAAAAAATTATACCACATATTACTATCTCTTTTCTCATTACCCCTCAAAAAACTGGATACTACATCTTACCTTTACCCTTAGATTTTTAGTTATGAATTTGAAATAAATTATTTTATTTAAATAGTCTCACCACTTTTAAGCATTTATCTACAATAATTATTTGCTTATTTTAGTTCACGAACTCTCAAACAGTAGAGACTGTAACTGTTAAGACTATTTTATTATAGAGTGGCCATAGCATTTGGGAATATATCAATAGATATTATTTTATTGTAACACTAGAGGCCTGTTCCACCTAGATCCATGCAGCAGGCCTTCCTTGCTCTGGCTGCCGGCACCTGTTTTCCTCTGGTACCCGTTACCCAGGCCTTCGCTCTGGCTGCAGCAGAAAAGCTAAGCCTCTGCAGTCTTCAGTCTTCAGTCTTCAGTCTTCGTTCCGTGCCTGCATCTGCAAATTAACCCACTGTCTTTGGTGGGTTAATTCTCATACTCACTCCTGATTGGCTGGTGGGTGTCACGGAGGTATGATCAATTTTCATATTTCTCTTTTGTTAGTATAGATGATATCAATAAACTATTTATTTTGTATTTGTATTTCCAGACTTGATTGCCGTCCCTTACAACCCTGAGTAAGTTACATGCAGGGGCTGTTTATGGCTAAAAACAAGGAGAAGGGATTTCCCTCCTTCTCAAGGTAGCTGTCATTCATTTGGGGCAGGTAATGGAATTTCATTTATGTTTTGGATTCGCATCATATGTGGATTTTATTTAGGCAAATTTAGCAAGAGAAAGCTGAGAGAAGAGAGAGAAATTTAAATGTCAGGGTTGAGTTTAAAATTTTATATAGGGTGTCTGATACCCAAAAATAAGTGTGAGAGGGGAGGTGGTAATCTGCTGTTCTTCCTTGGGTATTCTCAGTCCTTTCATACCCCTCATAGCACGGAATTGTAATTGCAGTGTTTAATTGTAGTGATTTATTAATACAATTTGGATGCCAAACATAAGCTAACCCTTACATCTGGTGTTAAACTAAAATGAATAATGTTATTTATCCATAGAAAGAAAACTGTGATAAATTTATTGAGAGATGGCATATATAGTCTCTAATACAGGTCTCCATATTTGACTTTTGTATTTTAAATTAGAAAAACTTAAAATCTAACTAGGAGAAGGCAAGTCCACTGTAGTTATTTTCTTTTTTACCACATAGGTGCTGAGATGAAGACAATTATTTTTTGTTGTTGTTGTTAATCCTCACCAGAGGATTTTTTTCATTGATTTTTAAAAGGAGTGGAATGAAGAAGGAGAGATGGAGAGAGAAAAATATCAATGTAAATTAGACACATCGATTGGTTGCTTCCTGCAGGCACCTGGACCAAGGCTGGGGATGGAGCCTGCAACTGAGGTATGTGGCCTTGACTGAAATTGAACCTGGGAACTTTCAGTCCATGGGTCAACACTCTATCCATTGAGCCAAACCAGCTAGGACATGGAGATAATCCCTAAGTACTAGTCTCAAAGTTCCTAGATAAGTAGGATTTTTTTTTGAATTGTTTTTCTGGTGCCACTGTTAGGGAAACATGGAATTTCTGAGAGGAATAAATTGTTTTCCTATGTTGAGCAAAGTAGGGAAAGAGGAATTGTAGAGAGAACAGAGAGTACCAGAGTCTAGTGGGGTGTGCATATGCACATTAGGAGTGCATAATGCAGAGGATTGATAAAGTTAAAAAAAACAAAAACAAGAGAAGGAGAAAAAGAAAGAGACAGGCAAAAGAGAGCATGGGGGTCTTAGTAAGCACATTTATCTGAATGGCAGATTCTCAGTTGTGGTGATTGAATATCTGAGCACTGAGTTTGGTGTAATGAGAATGTGTGATGCCTTTTATAATAAAACTGTCTACACAGTAAGGTAATTATCAACTCAGTAGAAGAGAGAATTTGAGGTGCTGTGTGACAGAATAAAAGCAGAACAGAGAGATTAACTGACCTATTGATCTAATGCAATTTGGCTAGAAGAATTATTAGGGATGGAGGAAGTACCTTGGCTTTGTTTAGGTTATTTATAGATACAGAATGCTTCTATTTTCATAACTAGTGTGGAATGTTTTATTAAAGTGTCTCATAAACTTTAATTATATTCTGGCTTATATTCTAAAATGTTCAGTGTCCTGTCTTTATTTCTTAGTGTTTGTAATCTTTATTCCATAATTTTTTAAACCTAGGAGCTGATCTTTTATCCCTTTGAGATCATATTCTTCTTTGGCTTATAAATTGCAAAGACTCTAAAACCAGATTGAGGATGGGTTTGCGAGTTCATGGGATAGAAAAAGACCAATGTGGGAAGCGAAAAAACAGAGGTGCTCATGTAGTTTGTATTGTATTGGGGTTGCAATGGATTACCACCAACCGGATGACCAAATGATTAGTGCCACTCACTTTGCTTTGGCTATCTTAAGTGTAACCAGGAAAAGGAGTCACACAGAGTCATGGAGGAATTTTACACAGGAGAGTAATATGATTTGATTTACATTTTTAAAACTTCACTCCTCCTGTTATGTAAAAACAGATTGGGGAAGAACATGGAAGCAAGGAACCAGTTAGGCCACTGAAGTGACCCAGGCCAGAGGCGATGGAGGCAAAGATTAGTGTGGTCATAGAGAGAATAGGCAGATTGAAGTGCTCTTTATTCCATATTTTTTATGTATATGTAAAGCTTTGTAATATCAAAATATTGTTTTTGTTTGTTTTAAAGTTATTTTCCTGTTGAATGTGAGTTAGATTTAGTGATTTAGAATATGGCCCAAGTGTTGCATTGTATGCCATTATTATAAAATCAATCTGTCAAAGTTGTTATTAGAATTAACTGAGGTGGTAAAAGTAAGCTCTCACTATAAATAAACTTTCAAGTAAATATTGGAGAGGCAGTGTGGGCACGGGGGATAGTGGAAAGAGCACATACTTTAGCAATTAGAAAAACCTGTTTGCTAATCCCTGTTTTACCAATTATTGACTGAGAACTACATATTGCTGTTACAAGTTATCCCAAAATTTAGCAGCTTTCATATAGTTATCTCCAATAAGGGTTTAATCTCTGACATTTACAGGGAACTCAGATAGCTAAACAAAAGGAAGATAAACAACCCAATCAAAAAATGGGCAATGGAACTAAATAGATACTTTTTGAAGGAGTAATTAAGGAAGGCCAAGAGACATATTAAAACATGGTCAAAGCCACTAATCATTGGAGTGATGCAAGTCAAAACAATAATGAGGTACCATCTCACAATTGTCAGAATGGCTATCATCAATAAATCAGCAAATGACAAGTGTTGGCAAGGATGTGAAGTAAAAGGAACCCTTGTGCCCTGCTGGTGGGAATGCAGACTGATGCAGCCACTGTGGAGAACAGTATGGAGTTTCCTCAAAAAACTGAAAATGGGACTCCCACTTGACACAGTGATCCCACTTCTAAGAGTATGTCCCAAGAAACTAGAAACACCAATCAGAAAGGGTATATGCATCCATATGTTCATAGCAGCATAATTTACAATAGCTAAGATTTGGAAACAGCCTAATTGCACATCAGCAGCAGTGGTATATCTACACAATGGAATATTATGTTGCTGTAAAAATGGTAGACTTTTCTATCATTTGTAACAGCATGGATGGAGCTGGAGAGCATTATGCTAAGCAAAATAAGTCAGTCAGCGAAAGATAAATATCACATGATTTCCCTCATTTGTGGGTTATAATGAATAACATAAACTGATGAATAAAAACAGACCTAGACACAGAGGAGCATTAATCAGATGCTCAAACCTCAGAGGGAAGGTAGGGGAGGGTGGTGGTAAGGGGAGAGATCAACCAAAGGAATTGCATGCAGGCATCTAAGCCTAACCAATGGACACAGATACCAGGGGGGTGAGGGCACGGGTGTGGGGGAGGACTGGGATGGGGGTAACGTAAGTAATACCTTAATCAATAAAGAAAGGGTGAAAAAATAAAGGATAATATGGTTTCACTTGGAAGGATTATATGGCGTTGTCTTATCAGAAGATAGAGCCAATGCCTTAATGAGTCTGAATATTTCTTAATGTTACTGTCCATGTGGGCAGGGCTTTTATGCACACATAATTTCTAAGTGTGATACTATTATGTGTCGTTTTTATTACAAGTGGTGATTCAAGGGGGGAGTTTTACCTAAACTACTACCTATATGCCCTGTTTTGTCTTGACCTTTCTCCTGAGATCCTAACAGATATATAGCAATCTCCTGTTTATCTCCAGTAGGGTATCCCACAGGCTACTTAACTTCAACAGTTGCAAAACAAGCTCTTCATTTTGAGCTCCAGCCCTTTCCCCGCCCCTCCTTCTTTAATCTAGTGAAGTCATTGCTGTCATTGTTCTCAATGACAAGACTGTCTCTCTTGTCTATCTCCTCTACTCCCACCCTCTGGCCACTACTAGAGTTAGGCTTCTATTATTTCTCTCAGCTGGACATCCAGTTTCTCATGTTAGCTTGCTTCAATTTTTCCTGTAATGTGATCTGAGTGATTTTTTTGAACTGCAGATCTGATTATGATACTCTTGTGCATAAAGTTCTTCAGTGGCTCTCCATTTAGCAACTCAGTTTAAAAACCATTCTCTAGCATCGCATACAAGGTCAGTCTGGATTAAGCTCTTGCACTTCTTCTGAGATTTCTTTCTTTCACTTAATTATAAACACCTAATCCTCTAGATACATTGTTACATTGTACTTCCCATGCCTTGGTACTTGAAGCTTTTTTTTTTTTTTTTTTTTTTTTTTTTTTTACTATCCTATTCATAGATAGTTGTCTGTGAAACTTCTACCCATCCTTTAAGTTTAAGATATAGCTCAGATCTTGCCTTTCATGTCAAGACATCCAAGATCCCAGCGGACAGAATTAAATCTTTGCTTCCCTTTCCCACTGTATCTTGTGTTTGTTTTTGCTATGCTATTCAGCAATCATATAAAAATTAGTTGTGTATTTGCCTGTTTCTGGGTTCCTTGAGGAAAAGGACCATACCTTTCTTATCTTTATATTGCCAGTGCTTAGCAAGGAGCTTCAAAGATAATAGAAACTTGACAAACGTTCATTAAATAAATGAGCAAATCAAAGTGCCTTAGCAACATGAATAGCAACAGTGCATAAGAAAAATGATTCTATAGAAGTGAGACATTCATCAGAAGATCATTTCTTATATCTATTCTTAATAAAAGCAGACTTGCAAATTCATCACTGTTGGGACTATGTTAAACAAACTTAGTCATTACATTTGTTTACAGTAAACTTTGGTTATCTGGTTCCCCCAAACACCTGAATGGCACTGTGCCCAGAAGTAAGAAATATTAAAAATGGACGTGCTTTCATTTGGAAAAATATTCCAAATGAACAAGGACAACTGAAACCATGATATGGTGATGTTTAGTTCATTCTCATTGTAAACAGAAGGTGAGGAGGGCTCTATAAGATAGGGATGTTAGTAAAAGGCAGACTTTCCTATGTGAAATCTGAGAGTCACAGAGTGACAGGTGCTTGGAAGAGAAAAAAAAAAAAGGGAGAAAAAGGAGGGAGAGATCAGAAGCAGAGGTGATAACAATGACAGTGCCAGGGATTTTGTATCTTTCACTCCAGCAGTCTTAGCCAAAAATTATAAATCAGAAGTTAGAACAGGCTTTGTGTGTGTGGATGTGTGTACATGTGTTTACACTCTACTACACTTTATAATTTAGAAGGTATAATCCTTAAAACGCAATCCAGAAAACTAGCCTTTCTAGAATGATGTATTTATAGATAATGCTGGATACTAGAGTAATGGAGATTTTTTATGGGCAGGGATTGTGTTTTAAAACTAAATGTTGTACTCTTTGCTATATGTAGATATCCTGTATATGTGTTATGTGCCATGAGCCACTCAAACTCTTGGTAATCTTTTTCTTTCTTTCTTGGCAATCTTATGAATGAGTGCTATCCATCATGTCCTCAGTAGCCCTACTTAGCTGCTGGAGACTCATGCCTATGGCTTTTTAAAAACTGAGTCAGTTAATTTCATATTTGGCTTTCCTCTTTTTCTGCTGCCTTCTATTTTTCCCAGAATTATTGTCTTTTCCAGACAACTCCGCCTGCTCATAATGTGCCTGCAAGGAAAGCTTCGGTTTTGTCATTTTTTCCTCCAGCAATGTTTTAGAATTAGTTTGCTTCAGGACCCACTTATTCATCTTTCTAGGAGTCCAGGGTATTCCTAAAGCTCTCTTCCAATACCCTATTTCAAATGAAACAATTTTTTTCTCATTATTCTTTTTCATTGTCCAACTTTTACATTTGTACATAGTAATTTGAAATATGAGGATGAGGATGAACTTAGCCTTGGTCTCCAGTGACACATTTTTGCTCTTGGTGACCTTTCCTAATTCTCCCATTGATGCCCTTCCAAGTCTCAGCCTTCTTTTGATTTCTTGGCAGTAGTCTCCGTTTGATTTGATGACTGAACTAAGGTAAGAAAAATCTATAACAATTTCAATGTCTTCATTGTCTATGTTAAAGTTGTATATTCTTTTGTAGTCATGTTCAAATTTTGATAATGTAAAAATAGAGCTTTGCTTTGATCCTTTCTTCTTTTACTTTCACCAGAAGTTATTTTTAATCACTGCAACTTTCAGCCACTAAGATGATGCCATTTGCATATCTTAATTGATATCTTATATGATTTTTATGCTTTCTTCCTCAGAGTCTAGTGCAGGATTTCATTGGTGTTCTGCGTGCAGATTAAACAAATAGGAAGATAAAATGAACTCTTGTTTGACACCCTATGTGACATCTTTGAAGTGAAATTAAAAAACAAAAAACAAAAAACAAAAAATGAGGTGGATGACAGAAGAAATTATGAAAATTATTAAAGACAGGTTAGAGGCCAAAGTTAAAGGTGACAATAGCACAGAAATAATCCTGAATGCAGTTTTTCAATGACCATTACATAAGATACAGAAAATTAGCCAAAACTGGTTTGATTCAGTGGATAGAGCATCAGCCTGCGGACTGGAAGGTCCCAGGTCCGATTCTGGTCACGGGCATGTACCTTGGTTGAGGGCACATCCCCAGTAGGGGGTGTGCAAGAGGCAGCTGATCAATGATTCTCTTTCATCAATGTTTCTATCACCCTCTCTTCCTCTCTGTAAAAAAAAAAAAATCAATAAAATATATTTAAAAAAAGATAAATAAAACTATTACAATTGTCAATGTAAGGAGATAGAAGAGAACAACAAAAAACATAAAACAATAGATTTATACCAGGAGATTAAAAAATAATAAAAGGAAAATGCAAACCTAGATTAGAATACCTGACCAGGAGAAAATAAAGGGATGATAGCAACAGTATACTGAAAATATATAGACTAATCAAAAGCCTTTGAAGAAGATTTCTAGATCAGTGGTTCTCAGCTGAGATAGTTTGGCGTGGCTGTGGGAGAAATGATAAAGATGGTATCTTAGTATGTTTGGGTTGTTATAATAAAACAGGGTGACTTACACGCCAAACACTTATTTCTCATAGTTCTGGAGGCTGAGAAGTCTAAGATCAAGGTGCCAGCACACTTGTTGTCTGCAGAGGTTCCACTTTCTTGTTCATAGATACTCAGCTCTTCACTGTGTCCCCACATGGTGGAAGGAGCTCTCTGGGTTCTCTTTATAAGAACACCAAATCAGTTCCCAAAGGTCCGTGGTCACATTGGGATTAAAGTTCCATGTGAATTTCAGGGGAACATAAACATTTAATCCGTAATAGAGGTGAAGTTTATTTTCAGCACCTTCCAGCCCTTCTGGTACTTCCTGTCACTGAATTCAAATTTCTCAGTATTTTAATTAAAACCCATTCACCAATTTGAGCTCTCTGGAGGGATTTCCACTCACCACTGTCTTTCAGGGTCTCTTCTGAGTGGGATTGTATTGCGGCAATAATATTTTCAGAAAAAAACTACACTCTACTTCCTGAGTTGCCAGGAACTTTTTTGAGGATCAGAGTTGATATTTTCCTTAAAAAAAAGAGGCATTTAAAAAAATCTTGGATATTTTTAGAGATAATATTTTGGAATAAATGCTCCATTCTTTCTCAAGTGGTTTTATAAACAATCATTGTTTCCTTCAATTATATTTGCAAAAGTATTCCGTTGTTTCTACTTTATGGAACAAAGAAAATAGTCAATATTTTCAGTTGGAAATTCTTTATATTTTGTTTAACAATTATAATGTGATAAAGAGTTTTCAAGCAAAGGATAAATTCTAACCTCTGAAACAATCAGTAAGTTATAAACATTTTAAACAAAAAAATTAAATTCGCAAAACAAGGTTAGCAAGCCTTTTGATTCACCAGCTATCTGAATATTCAAGTATCATTTGCTAAAGCATGTAATGTTTTGTTTTTATTTTAAAAAATATGTTTTTATTGAATTTCTAGAGAGAGAGAAAGGGAGAGAGATAGAGAGATGAAAACATCGATGAGAGGGACACATCGATTGGCTGCCTCCTGCATACATGTTCCCTTGACCAGGAATCAAACCAGGAACATCTTGGTTCATGGATCAGTATCCAACCACGGAGCTACACCAGCCATTCTGAAACGTGTCTTGACTCTTCAGAAGTTCTTTAAAAACAGCAAACAATGCACACAATGTAGTCTGGCTCACTGTTGGCGAGTGCAGCAATGCGGTAGGACGCAGTCCGGGCTGAGGGACCTCCCCTCCCCCAGTGCACAAATTTCATGCACTGGACTTCTAGTTGTACTATAAATTAGAGGTAATTTGGTACAGTTTACTATGACCTAGTCTTTTTTTTTTTTTTTTTTTTTTTTTTTTTTTTTTTTTAATGAACAACAGCAATTAATTTCTTACATTTCTGGAAGTGGAGAAGTCCAAGATCAAGACATGGCTGATTTAGTGTCTGGTGAGAAACTGCTTTCTGGTTTATAAATAATACTATGACCTAGTGTTAATTCTGTAATTATTAAACTTTGCCTTCCTAAGCAAGACTGCAGTGAATTATGATTCTCTGACTTGATCTGCAGATTAAACAATTTGGTCTGGCGGCATGGCCTAGCAATTGAGCATCAACCTCTGAATCAGAAGGTCACAGTTTGATTCCAGTAAGGGCACATGCCTGATTATGGGCTCTATCCCCAATAGGAGGTGTGCAGGCTGATCAATGATTCTCTCTCATCACTAATGTTTCTGTATCTCTCTCCCTCTCCCTTTTTCTCTGTAATTAATCAATATATATATTGAATTTTTAAAAGTTTACATATATATATTTGGTAAATCTGAAGAGGCGAACAAACCTTTTCTGGGAATGCAGTGGCCTTAGAGGAGCTGGAAAGAGACAGGAGGGAGAATGCTGTTAAGAGGACTGAGCCCTACTCAGGAGATGACACACTAAGTTCCTTTTTATCTCTGCTAAATGATGGTTTGAGACTGATACTGGACCTCACTCTTAGGACTTTCTTGTTATTTAAAAAATTTTAGAATGCTCTTTCTAAGCCTTTACTACTCAAAATGTGGCCTGTGTTAGCAGCAGCAATGGTATCATTTGGGAGCTTGTCAGAAATGCAGAATCTCAACCACATCCATGGAATTAGATCTGGCATTTTAACATGATCTCCAGGTGATTTAACATTAACATTGGAGAAGCTTTGGTCTGTCTCTCTTCTTTTGGCTCATATTTTTTCTTCCCATTTTTTCAATTGTACTCTCTAACCCTTCTGTTGGATTAAAAAATTCAGCAAACGTATTTTAGCTTTTCAAGGTAATTTTTAAAATTATCTGATTGTTCCATTTGGCATAGAATCGTATTCTAATCCTTTTTAAAAATATGTATAATTGACATATAACATCCAGCCAGATCAGTTTCTTTAGAGCAAATGTTATATCTTGTGACTAGACATAAACACAAAATCTCTTGGTAAAGGACCAGAGTTTTTGGGAGGAGATAGGGTAAGCAGGAGAGGAGTAATTGTATAGGCAGATGTATAAGTGCTATAGGTTTTTGCTCCTCTTCCTGTTGCCATCCTCTCTACGTCCTAGCTTGGCTCTTGGGTCTCGGGGCTTACTTAGATGGACCAGGCACCACCTCTAAAGCAGGCTTTGCTTTGAATTGTATGGATTTCTGCTTTCTCTTTCCACCTTCCAGAAAAATTATTAATATCTCTACTCTGCTCAGTGAAAGTTATCTTTTCTATTACTAGTGCTCTCAGTATATTTTTGTCATTTGTATTCTTTTTACTATCATGTCGTTGGAAACTTAAAAGAGTAAGAGTTAGATAAATAAATTTGGTTCTTAATCTTTTCCAGAAGATTAAGTTTTTTGATGGTGATAGAATAATTTTATGCAGATTTTATCCTTTGTAACTCACTGGGTAATCTTGTAACAATTTTTCTAAAAATGATACTAAGTTCTGTATTGACATAATTTTTACATAATCACACAGACCAAGAAAGAAACTAGAGCTGATACTGATCAGACTATCAAACAATCAAACCAGAGAAAAATTATTTTGTTCATGCATCACTGTGCGTATACACGCACAATGAACATATATACACATGCTCACCCCCACACACACTTTTCTGTGGGTAGGCAAACAAGCATAAAACAAGCTGGACATAGAGTGATAAAATGATTATATTTTGAATTTTTATTAAAAGATAAGTAGATTTCCACATCTGTCTATCTGACAGAATTTTAAAGTTTACATAAAGGCCTTAACAGGGTTCAGTTAGGTATATTGTCCATATGTTCTCAATAACTTCTTACTCTCTCAAGACTGTGTCATTGAAACTGGCTCCTACTGTGAAAGTGGTAGGCAGAATGTACATTTCAAGGATGGTGTGTGGTAAGATCAGCTTCTGATTACCTGGGGCCAGCTCTCAAATCAAGCAGGGGTCGTGTCCTTTGTTAATTTTTTTGTGTTGCAAAAATATTCTCCACTCTATGGTTTATACTTACTTTACTTAATGGTGTATTTTGATGAATAGAAATTTTAATTTTAATGTAGTCTAACTTATTGTTCTTTTCCATTATGATCAGTGACTTTCTGTGCAATTTAAAAATATTTTTCTTAAATAAATGAGAAGATATTCTCCAATATTTTCTTCTAACCTAGAGATACCTAAGAGAAATATAAAAGCTACATTTATATCTTAAAAATTTCCACATTTTAAAATTATTATTTTGTTTTTGCTGCTAATACTCACCTGAAAATATTTTTCCATTGGCTTATAGAGAGAGTAGAAGGAAGTGGGAG